AGACAGAGACGTGGTCATACAGCAGGCATGGGTCAGATGAGAGCAAACAGGTATATGGTGGGCAAAACACAAGAATAGTCCTAGGGCTAGCGCAGGTCGACGATCGGCAGACAGAATCAAAAGGGGCGAGACAAAAGGGGTGAATCCAGGGAACCAGGCGAAGATCAGAAACCGAGAAGGCTAAGGCTAAGGCAAATGACTAGGGCTAAGGCAAATGACTAGGGCTAAGGCAAATGACTAGGGCTAAGGCAATGACAAGGGCTCCGTAAGGTAGCTATCTCTAGGAGAGTGATAAACGCTGAAACAATACTCGGCAGCGGGAAGGGATCAGAGTGAGTGTTAAATAGTGAGGGAGTGATATGAAACAGCTGGGTGCAATCAGTGTAAACAGGTGTGTGCAATTCGTGCTGAGTGCAATCAGTGCAATGCATGATGGGAAATGTAGTCCGGGGTGCTATGCAACAGTTTGTGTGGTGCGAGAGTCAATGAAAAGGAAAGTTCATGGACCGGATTCGTGACAGTTATGTTAGCATGTGTACTATTACTTGGTCTTTTAAAGGCAATCGGTTTGCATGGTTTTAACAAGTAAATCAGATCACAGTTCAAGTAAATATAACTAAGAAATTCCAAGTTGCAGTAAATGTTACATTAGTTAAATTAACTTAAATACATTTGTTTGGAATACATTATATTTAAAGGTCCCATATTGTCAAAACTGAAATGTCCTGGCTTTTTTCATGATAACTGAGGTCTAGGTGCTATGTAACTACCATATAAGTTTCAAAACAGTCAGTCCACAGTATAATTCACACATCCTGCATAAAGTAGCTGTGATTTTTCACTGAACCGTTGTGACTTCCGTAAAAAGTTGACGTCAGAACTACACAGTCACCGCCTTCAGTTACCACCCCGAGCACCGCCCACAGTCCCACTCTCCTTTTGCCAAACCCCCAGACAACATTGCGGAAACATGTCGAAAAGGTTAACTAAGGTAACCACGTAACCAGATCGGCCGACCTGTAACATTACACTCTCACTCAAAGGATGGAGGATCTGACAGGATTGTTACTATGAGGTGGATCACATCTAACGGGTATAGTAAAGACAAACTCACCGTGTCTATCTAGTCATGATGATGTATATACATTTCAATTTCAGCAGGCAACTATTTTTACAGCTACATTATTGTTCCAGCCACATTAATCATCACAAAATGATTATATATAAATTGTCAGTTTGTTGTTTTACACACACATGCACACAGACATTATTTCATACACGACATAATCGTGAGATGCAAGAATCATAGACAAATGGCAAGAAATCTGTAGACGTGCCCATAACAACAAAAGACAATACTTTATTGAACCTTTTCTGATAAGAAGTGTGCGCTGCAAAC